TACTGACAGAGAGGGACAGACTTAAGGAACAGCTCCAGGACTCAGGCATCGCGCATGCCTGGAATGGCTCCAGGACCCAGGCATCGCGCATGCCCGGAACTAGGAAGGTAGAGGAGGAGGGCCAGAAGTTCAAGGTCATCCTCACCTACAGGTGAAGTTTGTGGTCAACTTGGGCTATGCGAAACCCTGTCTCAAAACCCAAAAGGCAAGGACACAAAACAGTGGTGTGTGGTTATGTGTGAACGGCGGCGCTAACTTCTGAGAGTAGGGATTCCGGAACAAAACTAAAAGGTTGGCTCTTAAAAAAAATCAAGTGGGTATGTTAAAAGCATCCAACTAAAGTAGAAAGTCAGGCCATATGGCTGCAAACTCCAGGGTTAGGACAGGGACACCTTGAGGCCAGCATGAGCCACATGGTGAGTTCCTGTGTCAAAAAAGGCAAAAGGAAAGAAGAATACAGGAGAAGAAGATTCCAGAATCCTAGAAAATGGGCATGTCACAGCAGGAAGAGCATCCATAATGGCAAGCTTCCTCAAGCAACACCCTAATAAAAGGCAAGCAGAAGCCCATGGTGGCAGTTTGGGCTGGAGCAAACAGTGAACTCCTTAGTAACATTGAGCTCTCCTGAACAGGAACATCAGTGGCCTGGGGGTCCAAGTCATCCTAGGGAAGAGAGCTTGAACTGTTAGAGAGTGTGCCAGTGATTATATAAGATTCTTGGTGTATGGAACACTGCCAACACACGTGACAAGAGAACTTAAGAGGGGCTTGTTTGGGCTCATGATCTGTCTGTCAGGGTGTGGAGGGCATGCTGGCAGGTGTGTGCATCTGCATTCAGGAAGCAGAGAGAGAGATGAATGCTGTGTTCTCCTCACATGTGCCCTGTAAGTCTTGAACATCAAGTCATAGGATGGTGCCACTGTCAGGGTGGTTCCTATCCACCCAGGCAAACCTATCTGGGTTCAGCCTCACAGATGTGCCCAGAATAATCCTAAAATCCAGTCAGATTGGCAATGAGGACTAACCATCATGCAACGTATTAAATATGGTCATGCCACACAAAAAAGGTGTGTGTGAGTGTTAGGAAGCTTCAGCAGCAGCTGGCTTCTGCATGACTTCTTCAAAAGATATTTATGCCTCCTTCCTCTACCATGCCCTTTCTCCCTGACTCCAGTTTAAACTTCCCTTTATATCCACTATTCTCCATTACCCTGTCATACAGTGAATTCTCTCCTCCGCTGAAAGCCAATCCTCAACAATGCTCTTACTAGACATCAGAGGCTAACCAGTAAAAACCAGTGCCAGGAATAGGTTATTGCTTTTGGAGTTGTTGTCAAGTGAGGGTGCGTAAGTCTCAAATAGTTTAGGCTATTGTCAATGCCAACTGGCTGCCCTCCAAAACTTGGTGACAAGACCCTATTGCTGTTTAGGCATGGTTACGCATGCTTTTATCTCAGCACTTGGGAGGCAGAGACAGGTAGACCTCTATAAATTTGAGGCCTGGTATACATAGGAAGTTCTAGGCCAGCCAGTGCTATGTAGAGAGGCCTGGTTAAAATAAAATAACACCACATACATGAACCATAAAACACGGAGAAATCAAGCTGCTACTGGCCTGGAAGTTTCATCATTTCTGGCTAGCTTTCAATGTGCTCCATATGGTACCGGAGAGGAAAGCAACCAGTCTTCCTCAGTTGGTGAAACTTGCAAGCTATAGCAATGACAGGCTGGCAAGACATGCCCACTGGTAGACATTGTGCATGTAATCAACCAGTTTCTGATTGCATTTAAGTCCCAATCCACAAGATAAAGCCTACACATTGTATTGTTATCAGGCATGGATTCCTGGACCCTTGGGGGATTAATAGCATTTACCTGCTAATATGCTATTATCCTGCTAAATGAACATAATGTTACACTAGCCTCTGCTACTTATTCATATATCAATGCAGCTCTTAGCCCTTGACAGATAAGCTTCTATTTGGAGCAGACTGTTATTGATACCGAGACCTACAACTGGCCAAGGTGTAGCCAATGAGAGACTGCAGAGTGCGCAGCCTTAAGTGGGACCTCCACACCACGCCCTCTTCTCCAAAGACTCAGGGATTGCTGCAGAAAGAGCAGAAGAACCCGAGGCAGTAGATGACTGCAGGGAAAATAGGACCTTCCGGACACAGCAGGACAACTGCCCATATGATCACAGTGATTGTAGCAATGTGCACAAGATTTTACTCCAGAGGACATTTTAGCATGGAGATCAAAGTTGCGCACACAATGTCACCTCTAGCTGTGGCACTATTGACAATTGGGAGCTGCTGGCAGAGAGGGGAGACCATTTTCTCTGAGATTGTAGCCCCCGATAAGTAGAACATTCTCCAGTAGAAAACTCTACAGTCAAGAATATACGGGCAGCACAAATTGGTCTTGATGGCAAAGAAGGTGGGCAGACAAAATGCTGGGTGGATAGGGAGGTATAGTGATGTATTATCTATGATTTATCAAAGCTGGCCTGAGGATTCAGAAAGCAAAGCCAGCCTCATGCTATAGAGATCCAGGCAGTGGTGACATACACCTTTAGTCCCAGCAGCTAGAAGCTAGGAGGTGGCGGTACACACCTTTAATCCTAGGACTCGGGATTAAGAGATAGACGGATCTCTCTGAGTCCAAGGCCACCCAGGGATACACAAGATTGAGTCAGTCTAAAAGAGTAACAGATCACACGCCTGTAATCCCAGCACTAGAGGGATATAAAAGATAGAAGCAGGGTCTTCAGGATTCAGTATCATTCTGGATTCTGGATCATTTATTAATTCATGTTACAGTGAGGAGGAGATATTTTGGAAGAATTAGGGAAGAAGAGTGACCATGATCAAAACACATTGTTCAAACTTCTTAAAGAATACATTTTTTAAAAAGTGAATAAATGCCGGTAGGTGGTGGTGCACATCTTTAATCCTAGCACTCAGGAGGCAGAGACAGGCAGATCTCTGTGAGTTCAAGGCCAACCTGGTGTACAGAGTGAGTGCCAGGACAGCCTCCAAAGCTCCTCAGAGAAACCCTATCTAGAAAAGCCAAAAAAAAAAAAAAAAAAAAAAGAAAGGAAAGAAGAAAAAGTGACTAAGAACACTAAACATATAACTCTTGAACTGTAGGAACGGTCCAGTTAAGGCAAGATGCCACTCATCAAGATTTTAAATGGAGAAAATGCAAATTGATTTGAAGTGAGCACATCTAAACTGAGAATGTCGTCAAGAGGATCCCAAGCTTAGCAGAAGCTTCAGAGGAAAGCATCATCTTAAGTTGCATCCACTAAGGTGCAGAGACACCCAGAGTGTGATGACGGGGACAGAGCCTACTTAGAGCTGGCCACAGATCTAGGCAGGCACTGCCTACATGGTATAGTATTTTCAGATTGCAAAATGTAAGAATAAGAGTGGCGTGCAGGTTTGCACGAAGATTTCAGAGAGCCAATGAGCAGATGTTGTGTGGCTGGGCAGGGTTTCCTGTGAAGAAGCCCATGAGAAGTCACTGCACAAAGCTGTGAAGGGGAGACCTGTGTTGCAATTTTCACCCTGGTTATGCAGTTGTTAACATTATAGTAGCAAATGGATACCACATATTGATATATTTCCTTTATTTTACACTGAAAGTAAATACTTGCAGAAAACAGAAGAGATGTGATCTGATGAAGCAGAGGGAACGAAAAATGGATGCTTAGAATGGAGCTTGGCGGAACAAAGTGCAGAGCTGAAAGAAAATACGGGGAAGAAAGAGTGGAGGATGAGTTACACCAGACCATGGATGTGGACAGGGTCTTTCATGCCCCCAGGGCCCAGAAAGAATGTAAAGATGTGGATTTCCAAATTGTTATCCATATAGAAATCTTCCACCAGGAACCAATCTACAAGCTGACTTAGACAGTCTCTACGCCACAGCAGCATTGTACAACATCTTATGAGCTGCACATCCAGATGGCAGCACAGTGGGGACATGGGTTAGCACAAGGTGACACTGGAGAAACAGGTCACTTTAGTCATTTGAGTGGAGGCCATCTAAAGCTGAAAAAATCAAGATAGTCTCTCCTTAGACACGAACAGTATTTATTGTGTTTCATTCTATTAAAGATGAGTGAGAGGCAATCACATCACCTAGGAAAAACTTTCTAGCGCATTATCCCAAGTAGAGAACCCCATTTAGGGGCTATGATGATTGACGGTCTCAGGGTTCTGGATCTGGCCCAGGTGATGGCGTAGGTGGGATTCATACAGGTTTCCAGGGAGGGGACTGAGTAAACTCAGTGAGATGTTTGTGGCTTCTCTGCAGGCACTTCCAGTGTTACTGGGTAAGCCCATATGACACCTGGTGTCACACACTGCAAGTTCTAATCTGTCCCCTGCTCTAGTCAGAGAAGAAGGTAGACTGTGGACAGTGTTGCTGCCCTGTCACCCAGGCTGAGGTAAGAGGCTCTGGGAGCTCAGCCCCTCCTCAGCCTGCATCAAGGTGAGTAGGGGCTCCTGGGGTAGGTGTTCTCTACGCCTGTCCTGGAAATACAGGTCGAGATTGTTCCACCTCTGAACTGGGGGCTGAAACTGTGACATGGGAAAGTTCTTGGCTCCCTGGTGTCTTTGTAGACCACCTGCACAGTGACACAAACGTCAAGGTGGAGCAAAGTAAGGAAAAGACAACACCCACAGACCTGGCCTGGTACTCAAGGGCTGGGTCATCCTGGAAACCCCTAGACTTCTGTTGTCTCTGCAGTGATGGGATGATAACTGCAGAGTGATAACACCAGGTGAGGATGACACCTCATGGTGACCATGCCTTCCCCACCTGCCCCTCCCTCCCACAGACTCACTGAGGCAGAAGGAATGCTGACTGTCCCCATCCATCACTGCAAGACAGACAGCACCACGCTGAAAGGCGGGAGCATGAACTAGGAAGTGGCTCCCATCTGGGAAGGAGCCATTAGCAACAGAGGATGAGCTTCAGGAGGAAGAAGGTTTTCTTTGCAGGAAAACAAAACAACCTTTATTACCGTGAAGGCACGGGGAAACAAGGGCTGGGTGATGAGATGGCTTTTGGAAGACCTCTTGCTCTTTGGCCTATGCTGCTAAGGTCCATTTGGGGTGACCAGCTCTCTGGGCTGCAGCATATGACTTCTCCTTGTCTCCAGTTTCCCTGTATGTGACTGGATGGTGGTTCTCTTTGGGACTGATGAGGTGGCCACAGCCCATTCCTTTCTTTGAACTTTGATGCAGGTTAGAGGCACTATGGGCAATGCCTGATTGCTGTTTGTCTCCAACATCTCTGTGCATAAATAGACGGCTGTGTCCCTTGGGGCTGGCATGTGGACAGCAACCCATTCCACTCTTCATTATGATTTGATCTGGGTCATAGGCTCTCTGGGAGGCAACACGCAACTGAAGCTTGTCTCCAATTCCCCTGTACCTACACAGATGGCTGCTCCGCTTGCGGGTGGGGACTTGGTCGAAGCCCATTCCTCTCTTCACTCTGTTCTGATGTTGATCACAGGCTCTCGGGGCACTCAACTGATATTTATCTCTGATTCCCTTGTACGTGAAAGGATGGCTGTGACTCTTGGGGCTGGTACGACCAGAGCTCATTATTCTTGTTGGTCTTCCATTCTTTAAGTCATAGAAACCTGCAGGAGAGTGGCAAGAGCCACCCACCGGGGATGTCAGTGGTTCCACTTTACAGCATTGTACCTCTAATGGGTCCTCTAATTTAAGGCCCAGCCAGTTCACCAAGATCTGTACCACTATATTCATGAGGTACTGGACTTCAGTTGCCATACTGTAGATGACCTTTTGTCTTGTGACTGACTCCTGGGTCATCACAGTAGCTGGTGGGGAGCATTCATTCTTCAGGGGATCCCCCAGCCACTTGTCCTTTGTCTTGAGGTTGAGATATTGTAGAATATGCTTTATGATTTTCTTCAGGTAGCTTTCCAGAGGATCCTGTTCCTTTCCTAGCATATCAAGGGAGGGCTGACACTCAGTCATGGCTATATCCTTGAGCAGGGTGGAGCCTGGCGTAGAGGGACTTCCGCTCTCAGGCATTTCTTCCTGGCACACGACTCTAGGTGTCACAAACTCCTCCCACTCATCATTGGGATGAAACACCTTGTGATTCTTTGCTTGAATTTTATCCTTGGGAAGTCTGAAGTCCTCAGTCTCTTGGCTCTGATCTCTCCTCATGAAGACTTCACCTAGGCCCCGGGAGGTCTTGAGTATTTTGGGTCTATGCTGAAATCTAGGAAGCAAGTGCTCTGAAGGCAAGGTTACTGAACTGGGGATGTCTGGACAATGGTCCACGGAACAGGCCTGTGGCTGCTTGATTGATCTGAAGTCAGCCTCACTACACACTTGTGTTTTTAGAGCCGAGTCTCCTGAGTGCTGTGGAGTAGGTGTTTGGAACTGACCTGGGCTTCTATTGGCCTCTGTAGACGCAAAGTCCCTGAGGTGGATATCGATGGCTTGGCCATTGGGAATCTCTGTGGATCCCAGGCTCACTTTCCAGGCAGGGTGTGCCTCTTCTTTCTCCTCTGATCTATAGGTTTGTTTGACCACTGAAGGTGGGACCCTTTCTTGAGGACCCAGCATTGTCCCACTCCAGCAGGGACGTCCTGAGACCACATTCTTAAACCTCTTCCATGGTGCATGCTTGTGCATTCTTGGGCTGGTACTTGGGTGTAGGCTGCCTCTTCCAGTCCCTCTGACAGTCCTGCTCGGCTGGGTTCTTGCCTGGAAGCAGAAAGCCTGGGTCTGAGCACTCAGGTAGCTCCGCCATGTAACTGGATGGGCCTTGGAGGGCCCATGGCTGGCAGCTGGTGGAGTGACTCTTTGCATCTCCTGAATCTCTGATGGTGAGTGTACAAACAGAGGAGTCTGCAGCCTGGCAGCTGACACAGTTTCTACCCTTGTCCCTCCTGGATCTCGGTGATGCAAATTTTCCAGGATCATGGCAGCCTTGGAATAGTATTCAGCCTTAGAACCACAGGTGGGTGAGGAGGAACATGTAATCTGGGGAAGGGATGAGGCTGGAACACCCAGTGGGGTAAGATCTCTTGACTCGAAAGTGTGTAGATATGGTTTCCATCTGCGTTTCACAGAAAGCTGTGTGATATTTGATTCCAGCTTCCTTTGGATTTTAGGGTCAAGGAAGGAAAGGTCCTGGGTGGTGTTCACATAGGACCGCTGATCTGTCCTCAGTGCAGACTTCCTGGGTTCCAGGCCCTTCCTAGGGCTGCTGCTTGAAGTGCAAGGCAAGTCTTTGGCCCTAAAATCAAGGCCCTCCTTGGTGGGGGTGTGTATGTTATGTTTTTCTGGGCCCTCCTTTAAGGGCATCCCGGAGGAGTCAAAGATGGAGGGCTGGACAGGCTCGGGGAGGTCAGGCTTGTCCTTGGGCTGGAAAGGACCGTTTGCTGGGAAATGTCCCTGCATCTGGGTCAGCTCCTGGGGTGGGAGGAGCCTGGATGGGGAACCTGGTTGTTCTCTCACCTTAGTCCCCCTGCATTCGCTCTGTGACTCCTCATGGTGCTGGAGGACCTGACGACACTCAGAAAGGATGGAGGCTGAGCTGGTAGCTTCAGTGAGCAGGGTGTCCCCGGGGAAGTTGTGAGGGGGCTGGCTAATGTCTTCTTGACGTGTTTGGACATTAGAGCCTATGGTGTCTTTCCTCTCCAGATCCTGCTGCCAGGGCTGGTTTTCAGTCCGGAGGGACACCTGCATCCTTGTCTCACTGGTAGAACCTGCTTTTACATAGGTTCTGCTTGTAGATGAAGAAAGTGATTGGTTTGTTGTAGAGCTTATGAGGTTGTCCAGTGTCTGAGCCTCTGTCACACATGCCAAGCTTGGTGTCACAAGTTGGTGGGGCAATGGCTGGGCCTGAGACATCTGTGAAGGTCCTTGAGCCATGGGTAGAGCTGGGAAAGGGCCACATAAATCGCTGAATCTCACAGTTTTACGCCCTGCAGAGGAAGGTCTCTTGGAGACCCAGGCAGAAGCCACCACTGACTCAGAGAGCATGGAGGAGGGCATGCCCCCGAAAATCCGGCTAAATTTCTGCTGCATAAGATCCTCCAAGAACTTGAGAGAAGACAGCAGCTGAGAGAGGGGAAGCTGATCTGGTTTCTCATTAGGGTTCCAAAAGGCATGTGGTGTAGAGTCCAGTAAAGTATGCTTGCTGGGGCTGCAGAAGACAGGAGGCAAAACCATCAGCCCCAAGCAGAGGGTCAAGAGGCCCATCAGTCTGTGTAAATACGATACAAGTGTCCCATGGTCCCTCCACGGCCTCCACCTCCATATTCTGTACCCCAATCCCACCCTGTGCAGAATCTCCAGCACAAAGATCCCCTGAGCCTGAGCTCACACCCTGGTATGAATAATTCTACAAGACAGAGATTTCTTACATTTTCACAGGCTGTGGTGCATTCTGGGTATCTTCCACATTCTCTCTGCCATCTCTACAGCCTGGAAACAGTTATGCATGGTGAGCACGAGGACCGAGATCTCACAGGAGAGTGAGGCACCTGTCTTAAAGTCCACCCGTCCTAGAGCTCTAATACCCAAGCACCAGAGCTCAAGCATACGGAACCCTGAAGATGAGCACGTGGCGTGGAGGCACCATATCTCTTCATTTACGCTTTCCTTGCTCCTCTCTCAACCCCTGTCATCCTCATCCAACACTGTGAGGACACAGGATCAGTCTTCTGAGAGAGGAGTGGGCCTGAGGGAATTGCAGCTGCCTGTTCAGGTGGACCCAGGGGTCCCCCATGCATGGTCACATGCCTTGAGCCACACCCCATGGGCAGCCCCTACCCCAGGCCAAGCACAGCTTCAGTCTGTCACAGAACCCGGGATTTCCCTGATTCTCATTTCCCCCAGCAGCCTCCTCTTCCTTGTTGGTGCTCTGCATCCTGTATCCCCACAGGTGTGGCTGTCATGGCTCCCATCACTGAGGGGTGGGGCAGATGGATCTGCTCTCCAGAGGAAAGCAGAGGCCTACCTTTTGCAGAAGCAATTTTCTTCCTGGTCCTGCTCCGTCCCCTCCTCGTCACCTGAGATTGAGGAAGGACAAACGTGAGCGGGGCCCCTTCTTCCTCTCTCTAGTGGACAAGCTGCCTGCCCTCTGTGCTCGAGGTTAACACGGAATCCACATTTCCCAGACTTTCCCTCTTCCATCCTTGACTCAGTTGTTCTATGCATAGATGCATTTCCTCTTGGAAAACACAAGCAGGGCTGTCTATGCCACACTCACACGGATGTCCTCAGTCAGTGTTCCTCAGACGGGATCCCACCCAAGGCTGAGCTCTGCTGCTGCCGCCTCTGGCTGTCAGGTAAGATCTGCTTCCTCAGACCGGAGGTGACTCGAGTCCTGATCTGAGGCCTTTGGTTTCATCAACCCCCCCCCCACACACACACACACCAGCTCAGCAGAAACAAAAGCGTGTGGCCGAGCAGAGGACAGATGACTTCTTTCTCAGAGCCTGTCCTGTCCCAGAGGTCCCCACCATCTCAGGAATGCTGTTGTCCACAGAACCACCGTCTTCCTTAGTGGCGCTCTGCCACACCACACAGGGGGTCTGAGAGCTTCATGCACACACCTCAAGGCCACTCTCCTGTCTGCCCTGCTTTCCAGCCCCTGCTGATGAGATGCTGTTCTTTCTGGAGGTTTCCTCTCACCTGTCTCTCTGCTTGCCTAGCAAATGGGAAGTAACAGCAGGGAACAGCAGACTGAACACACCCCATTGTGTTCCAGCCAAGGCTTTCCTCACCTTCGGGGTGTCCTCTCCACTCCCAGGTGGTGGTGATGTGGGGTATGTCTTCAGGAAGGGGATTAGTAGGAGGAAGAGCCACACTCCACAGATGACACTGAAGATCATGTCCATGGATATGAAATTGGAGCTGGGGCTCATCCATGACTCACTATCGCCTGTCAGCTGGAAGAGAGCAGTCTCCATCTTCTGATTTGCCCACACCTCTCAAGCCACTGAGCCCTGGGAGCACAGCCTGAGGCTGTCAGGAGGGCTGAGGCCCACATCACACAGCTGAGGCCTCCTCATCACAAAGGGCTCCTGGCAGGAGGGAGGCAGCCACAGCCCCTCCTCAGCCTCCAGCCCTGCAGGTCCTGCTGCCTCCTGGGTTTCCCTGCTCCCTCCTTCCAAGTCCTCCTGCTGAAGCAGCCAGGGACACAGCTTCCTCCATGCCTTGTCCTTCCCCTGAGCCCCAGAATTTCTCTGTCTCCTAGAAGGTGTCTGCTTCAGCTCATCAGGTTCCTAGTTTCTGACACATTGGGTTTCTCTGTGGAACTCGAGTGTGACTCAGGGATTGTTGCTCTCAGTGTGTCTTCTCTCTGCAGGTCCCAGTCTGTTCATTATGAGGTCATGCCTTGCCTTAACTCAGACATGGAACTTCCTTTTGTCTCACACTTATTTAGCTGGGTCAGTTTGCAATATAATTCAAAAGAATATTATTTTAATTTACTAACTTCAGTGAATAGAATGTCAAGGAAAAATGAAATTCGGTACTCTATCATAAGAATGTGTGTGGCTAATTGTGAAATAAGTTCAGTATTTTAGTGTTTCACATTTGTTTCTTTTATTCACTTTTTAAAAATTTCATAAAATTATGTGATTCATTAAGGTCTTTTTTGTACCTAATTGTCTTGCTCTTGTGAGCCATGTGGATGTGTGGGTATCTGCTTGGCAGGATGTGGACAGCATCCTTTGAGTTCATGCTCAGGAATGGTAGTTCTGAGCATCTGGTAGTTCTGTGTTTAGCAGCCTTTATTCCAATTCCCACCATGTTGCTTCAGTTTACATGCCCAATAGCAGTTGCTGAGGGGTTCCCTCCCCACATCCTTGCCAGAATTTCTCATTTGTTGTCTGATCTCAGCCATTGTGGTTTAGGTGAGATGGAATCTCAAAGGGGCCTTCACTTGAACTTGCGTGAAGGATAAAGATGTTGGAGACCTTGTAAAATAACTGTTTGTAATGAGTACTCTTCCCACCAGCCACCTGGGTCCTGCAGTTGTCTCAGCCTCCAAATAACACATGAAACACTATATTATGAAGCTGTTGGCTATTTGCTTGGTTTCTTATCAACTAGCTCTGACTTAATTATTAACACACAACTGCTACTGAGTATTTTCACATGGTCTTCTCTTACTGGAGAAAGGGTCCAGACCTCTTACTTCTCCCGCATCCTACATCGTGACTGATTGTGCCTCTGTTTCCCAGAATCCTCCTTGACTTCTAGTCCCTCCTAACTTGCTTCCCTGTTGGTCAACAGTGCTTTATTTATACCAATCATACAAACATACACAGAAGGACTTCTCCCATCACCTCCTCTTTTCTGTCTAAATAAAAAGAAAGGTTTAAACTTTAACACAATTAAATTATATATAACAGAACAGTTATCAAGTGAGAACCATAGTTACAATAGTTAGTCTATTAACATTTAGTGGATTTAAAACAAGTATTTTATCATCTATCCTATCTGAGTTTAAATCTTATATGTAACTTATGTTTTATCATGACTAAGGAAAACTATAATTATACCTAGTTGTCTTCAACTGCATCAAAGACTACAGAAGGATAATATATAAACTCTAGAATTTGACAGAGACACCTTGCTACCTTGACAGTCACCTGACATTCCTCTGTAACGTTGGGGCATCCATCTTCAGCCCATAGGCCGCAGTGTGTCTGGCACACTTCTCAGCAAAGCAGGAAATTTTAAACTGTCTGCCTGCCTTGGCAGTTTGTCAGTAATATTTCTGTGTCCTGCAGAATGTCTGGCAGACTCTTCCATGAAGCAGGAACCCTGTAGGATTGTCCAAGTTCAGCAGTCACTTTCCTGTGGGTCCTGCATGTCCAGTTTATACAGCAACAGTCAAACAGTCCAGGCAAGTACAGTTTCTTGCCCAAATGGCCCATCTTGCCATGTTGAAACTCCATAACAAGTTTCTTCGATGCCCATCTTCCTCTCAGATGTAATTGGTGTATCAGGAGGAGCTGTATCTCACTATCATGAAAACCCTAAACTATTTAAATGCCATATATTCTGTAGATCTTTGAAAGGTTTGAAGAATATCTATCCCTCTCAAATACATCTCTGTATATCTAGAAAACCTAACTAACCTAACTATAAGTTCTATTATAAGTAACTATCTATAGTTTGTATTTAATTATGCATTACATTTTAAAAGATCAGTATAAACACAATACTTAAACAAGAGGAGAAATATGCATATCATAAATTGACCTTAAATTTGTATCAACAAATGAAAATCCATATGAATACAAAGTATTCATTTCTATATCATATTCCCTTTCTTCCCTTTAGAAAGAGATTGACTGTGATCATTACCATTTAATAACCAACCCTGTAAAATGAAAACAAACATTTAAACAATATTTGGGAATGTGGGCTTTGTTAATTCCAAACTGCTTCCTGCTGGCTGGGGTGTTGTCCATACCATGGGGATCATGACCAAACACAGAAACCTGGCTAAGTCCTTGTTTTTGTGGTCTGTACGGTGTATTGTCCCTGCTGTTTCAGATGCTGGACTGCCTGGGACACTGCTTCAGGAGGTCTTGCTTCATCAAATCGTAGAAGTCTGGAAGGAATCCACAGCTTTTCATTTTCTGTGGAAACACAAATAAGATCTCTTTTCCAAAGTAACATATCCTTATACTCAAATTTTGAAGTCAAGACATTTTCAAAAGATGTAAGTTGGATTAATTCAGAAGTATTTATAATCAGGTATATTTCAGCAGGTGTTCCTTCCTTAGCAATTGAACAACTGAAAAGTACAATAGCATACAGTATCCAAACTCTCTGTGTATTTTCCATCTTTACATGGCTTTTTTATTGATCTACTATTATTACTTTATTTCTTTTACTTTTATTTATTTTTTTTTCTCTGAGACAGGGTTTCTCTGTGGAATTCTGCCTGCCTCTTCCTCTGGAGTGCTGGGATTAATGGTGTGCATCACCACAGTCTAGCTTCTATATTTCTTTTACCACTATCCTGTTTCCTTTTCTCTCCCAAGCCTATGTATATTTTTAAACACATTGTAAACCTTTTAGAGGTTTTACTTCATATGAATCTGACTTACTGTAAGTCTTTATGTTATTCTGGTCATGTGTCTTTTATCTGCTAAAAACTGCAGCTGTTTTAACTGCTGTCCTTCCAAGATGGCAGCACTGGCTCCGCAAGTCTCTGCTTGTGTCTAGCAAAACAGAGCCCACCAGAGAAAATGCTGCCACCAAGAAGCCATGCTTCTCTCTGTTCTTCTGTTTCTAAAATTCCCTTTTAAAGCTTTTGTTAAGTGGAAATTTGTGCTTCAAGTCCAGATGCCATATCTAATATGTACTCTTTCCACCAGCTGCCTGGGTCCTGCAGCTGTCTCAGCCCCCAAATAATATACTATATTAATTATGCAGTTGTGGGCCATTTGCTTGGTTTCTTATCAGCTAGCTCTGACTTAATTATTAACCCATAACTGATAATCTGAGTGTTTCCATGTGGTCTGGAACTCTTACTCCTCCTGTGTTCTACATCATGACTGACTGTGCCTCAGTTTCCCAGAATCCTCTTCAACTCCTAGTCCCACCTGTCTTGCTTCCCTATTGGTCAACAATGCTTTATTTATACCAATCAGACAAACATATACACAGAAGGACTTCCCCGATCACCTACTGACCTCTGTGTGTTTCCTTTTGAAAACTGTTCAGTTCATTAGTCCATTTATCAACCAGTTGTTTTGTGCTGTTTAATGTCTGCCATGCTTTGTACATTCTAGATGTCAATGCCCCACAGGAAGTGTCACCAGCAATGATCTTGTCCCATGCTCTGTGCTGTCTGTTCCCTCTAATGACAGCATCTCTTGCTGTGCAGAAGCTTTTAATTTCATGGTATCTCATTTGTGAACTTACAGGGCTCCTTCTTGTGCTATTGGTGTTCTGATGTTTTAGAGCAGGGTGAGAGATTCAGAGCTATTTAAATTCTTTTGGTGGATGTCCCGTTGTGGCAGCGCCATTTATTGTATTTATTCCAATAAATAACCATTTATTCCAAGCCTCTTTTTCTAGTGTGTATGTATACTCCACTATGTACCTGACTCAAAGACAATGAAGAAAAGCATCACTGGGGCATTTTACTACACCTCTCCTTAGAATGCACTGACATTTGGACAAAAGAATCTTGCCTGTCTCCATTGCACCCACAGGCCCTGGCTTGGGGGAAGGTGGAGCTTTCTGTCAGTTTCGCTTTGGCTGGACTGCTCTTCCTCTTGTATGTACTTGAGCACATCCTGCAGACTCTCTGCCCTGACGACATGCAGTGGTAAGCCTTGTGGTGGAGACGGACTTTCCAGTTCCTTTATTGGAACAAATAGCACATCTGTTCCCGAGGTTCTGAGAGAAGGGGTAAGATGCCAGGCAGAATCAGTCAAGGTGGGACAAGCTATGGAGGATGATGAACCGTCTCCTCCAGGGGTCAAATGAAGACCAGCTCCAACCATCTTCTCCTCAGTAAGAGCTTTGATTTACAGAAAGGACATCTTGGAAGAATGCAGGGGTGGGGGTGGGTGACAGTTGAAAATATCCCCATCAGTTAGCCCTGTTTGCATTTCATGGTGTAGGTCACCCATGCCTCTCTGTCCTCGCAGATGCCGGAGAAAACCTGCCTGAGCAGATGGGGAGTCTCAGCAGAGCCTTGAGAAGTGAGCACACATCTGTGCCTGGCTGCAGGGCTGGGTCTCCTGAGGAGGGCAGTGACCATGGACCGCCCCCCCACGTCTCAGATCATGGCTAATGTGAAGGTGGGAACTTGGAGTCATCCAGGTGGACCATCTCTCATTGATATCACATAGATCCAGTCTACAACAGACCCTAACACTGTAGTTCTGAAGTAGAAATCCAACCTAGTTGAAATAAATTGGCATCGGAACACTGTGGCATGGCTGAGGGAAATCTGAAGGCATAGACTCT